AAGAGTTTGAGAGGTTGCTGTGACACCATGGCACTCTACTATGGGCAACAAAAAAAAAAAAAAAGAAAAAGAAACATCAACAGTAATGCTCTATAAAAATAATTTCTGCTATTTAAAACAGCTCACACTTGTAGCAATCATAGCACTCTGGAAGGCTGAGGTTAGAGAATCACTTGAGGCTAGGGGTTTAAGACCAACCTAGAAACACAACAAGATCCCATCTCTATAAAAAGTTTAAAATATTAGCTGGGCATAGTGGTACCTGCCTGCGTCCCAGCTACTTGGGAGGATGAGGCAGGAGGATCATTTGAGCCCAAGAGTTTGCTAGAGTGAGCTATGATCACACCACTGCACTCCAGCATGGACAACAGAGTCCCTATCTCTAAAACAAACACACACACATACACAGAAAGAATTTAATGCAAACAGACAACAGTGTCATGACTACTTCAATGTTCCTATCAGACCTTCCTCACTACCATGAATGCCAATTTACCTCAAGCAGCTCAGGAGGTGGGGCATTATCAGAAAACAAATCAAGGGCCCGGGATACTATGTCGGATCTTGTCCGCCCACCATCATAATCCACAGGAGACTCGCCTTTCTGAAATATCTTGATTGTAGGAAATCCCCTAATCTGTTAAAAAAAAAAAATCCTGAGTACAAAATCTAATTGATATATCATACAAAATAACATAATCTTTGTGGTTTCTTTTCTTTTTTTTTTTTTTTTTTTTATTGAATGGTAACTATGTACATTAATGCACTTCTGGGGTACAGTGTGTACCTTTGTGGTTTCTAAAACCACCTTACAGGTAATTTAACATAACAAAACTATTCCCCAGCTGGCATTGATGTAAAAGGGATGAGCCATAGTGGTCTATTAATAGAAGTGTTTAACAGTCTGTGAAGTTTAGTCAAATCATATGCAAGCCCTGGGTCACTATGGATAATTAACACAAAGCACTTGCTTTGGGACAGATGGACCAACTTTCAAAAGCCACACGAACAACCTGAAAAAGCCTGGGAAATGGAAGCTTCTCATTAAGTGCACAGTGGAGGCAGTGTATTACTGGGGCAGGGGAATCAACAGTCCTTAGGTCCAGACTTGCTAGACAGGATATGACGATAGTGACTTAATGTCTTTATTTGTAAAATGGCTAAACACCTCCCCTCCTATCTCAGAGGGCAGCCTGGAGTACTGCATGAAGTTAACAGTTGAAAATACCACATGCTTCACAAAGAAATGAGCCTTAAAATATACTCACCCCATACCGGGAGGCTAGAACCTGATTGACCGTAGCGTCTACAGCTGCCAATTTCACTTTCCCTTTTGTTTGCTCTTTTACCTCTGAAGCTGCAGCAGCCCATTCTGGCTCTAGGCTGCAGAAAAATATTTGTATTTAAAAGTGCATTTTAAATGGAGAAGCAAAAGTCCAACATACTCAATTCTAGTATGAAGGCAGTAGACGAGCTAACATAAGGGGGTGGCTAGGAGTAATAGGGAGCAGGGAGAGGAGAGGAGGAAAGGGGATGGGGGTCACAGTATGTGTATGGCACACACACCTCTGGGGGGCGGCACACAATTATAAGAGGGACTTTACCTAACACATGTAATCAGCGCAACCTAATTCTTTGTACCCTCAGTGAATCCTAAACAATTAAAAAAAGTGCATTTTAACTCATGGAACAAATATTTATATATATATTTTTTAACATATGCATGTGTTAATTATTAGGTTTCCACTTTTTGCCTTCACAAAATTAAAAAGGCTTAAATGGAACAAATACTTTTTAACTGATCTGTGTACTTCGGTCCAACTGCCAGTTCTATCACACCTGGAAAACATTTTGTCATTATATGAAAGATATGATGCTGCTGTCCATTCCCTTCACATTCACCTCCCAGGCCTTCACCTCACTCCCCAAATGTGGACATTAGCAAGCCCTTCTTAATCTTTGAACACTGAAGAGTAGAAATTCTGGACTCCAATGTCAAGGTTTAACATTCATGTGGAGTCAGAGTTTTTCCTGGAGGAGATGTTGGAGATTATCTATTATATAGTTTTGCTCTTTCAAGATGAGTGTTTTGAAAGCATTGCCCAGAACAGACTACGTGGTTGAAAGCACTTACTTTTTGCAGTGTCCACACCAAGGAGCATAAAACTCAACCATCCAAACATCTTCACTGTCAAGGACGTTCTTATCAAAGCTGTCGTCTGTCAGCTCAATCACATCCTTCTTACTTGAACTATCACCTCTGCCCTGTAATTTATGATATCAAACTGTAACTTGGGCAAAAAGAACACTTTTCCAATTTTAAATTCAGTAACAATGACTGCTCCTACATCTTAATGAAGTTTTTCTTTAGCAATAGTGAAAACTGTTTTATTCACATTAGATGCATTTTTAATATTATTATTACCTGGTAAATAGTCTTTATTTTCAAACAATTACCAACACGTTCAGCATAACGTAAAACCTGTACCCCACCTGAATCCTATCATCTTTTTTTTTTTTTTTTTTTTGAGACAGAGTTCTCACTATGTCAACCTGGTGGTTGTATCCTGGCGGCACAGCTCACAGCAACCTCAAACTCTTGGGCTCAGATGATTCTCTTGCCTCAGTCTCCCAAGTAGCTGGGACTACAGGTGCCTTCCACAACGCCTGGCTATTTTTTTGTTGCAGTTGTCATTGTTGGTTAGCTGGCCTGGGCCAGGTTCAAACCTACCAACTTCAGTGTATGTGGCTGGCGCCATGACCACTGTGCTATGGGTGCCAAGCCCACCTGCTGTTTTTATAAACAGAAACCTCAACATGGCTCAAATAGCCACCCTAATACACTGTTTTAGTTCAGACTCAAGTATAGTTGCTGCCTTCCTTTTCATAGATGAAGTCTCCACCAATTAAGGAAGCTAAAAACATTTAGCCATTTTCTTTCTCAATGAATTGTTTTCAGTACTAACCCTCGGAATCGAGCCATACTGCTGTACTGCTCTCTGCTGCCCAGCTGGGCTAACAGCCATGGCAGGGGCAGGGGACTGGGCAATTGCACTCATTAAATGTCTAAATTTGAAATAAAATGCAAGAACATGAAATCTTTGCATAAACTCTAAGATAGTATAATGAAGCTGGTTTTACTGGTCTCCTAAAGAGGCCCACTGTTTTTACATATATCTTTAATTTATTGCCTTTTTAAAAGAACATCCGTACATCAGAGTGAAGCTTCAGATTTCACAGCAGTGTGTTTCAGATGCCAAGAAACAGGAATTTCTACCTCTTCCTCCTCCTCCACCCTCTATCCTTTTGTGTATAACTTTCCATGGATTGAGAGTTCATTGCCACAGATTTAAGTTAAAAAGTCATCTGAGGCTCATTGCCTGTAGCTCAAGCAGCTAAGGCACCAGCCACATACACCAGAGCTAGTGGGTTCAAATCCAGCCCAGGCCTGCCAAATAGCAATGACAGCTGCAACCAAAAAATGGCTGGGAGTTGTGGCGGGCACCTGTAGTCCCAGCTACTTGGGAGGCTGAGGCAAGAGAATCGTTTGGGCCCAGGAGTTGGAGGTTGCTGTGAGCTGTGATGCCACAGTACTCTACTACCCAGGGGACAGGTTGAGGCTCTGTCTCAAAAAAAAGAAAAGAAAAGAGAAAAAGTTATCTCAATTTCATCACTGCTTGCCAAAGTCAATCTAGGAGAGCCTGTCCCACTCCTATTCTGGATTTACATATGCCAGGGGAGCCAGTGCCCTGCTCCTCTGCCATGGAGTTTGTTCCCAGCCTGTGTCCACACTCCTCTATTTCAGCTCTGGCCTAGGAAGATTACCTGGGAGTCTGGTACTTGGACTGCAGGTGTGGCAAGATGCCCTGGGACTGAACAGCTATTGCAACAGTGATTCTGGGGGAAGCTAAATGAGCAGGCTGGGCAGGGGCCTCCCTGGGGATCAGCTGACCCAACTCTGTTATTTTTTCCCCCCAGTCTTCCACTACTACAAATTATGCAATTACATTTCCCACATTTGAGGAAATCGCAGGGGTCAGCCCATCTGGAGTGCAATGGATAAGCCTCGCTGTGGGAGAACTACCTTTGTGATCATGGTATTTCTCCTGCCAGGAAGTATGTCTTGCTATTAATTTTTAATTGGAAGTTCACCAGTTTAAAATATTACAAAACAAAAAACCTGTTTTCTATAGAGTCCATACCCAGGCTCTAAAATAATGACACATTAAAAACTGGCATTATACTGCCTTACTTGTTTTCCAGAACTATATCCGCCACTCCTTCCCCCAAGGCGATCCTTGACGAGCTGGCGAAGAGCACTGAGTGCGGCATCCACGATGGCCTCGCCAGTTCTACCACCTGCAGGAAACAAGGCAGGCGGTTTTCAGGCCAGCCTTTGCCACATCTACCCTACACTACCTAAGAGTCCCATCTTTACATAACTGTCAGCTTCACCTGTGTTACAAAGATCTACCAACGGCTGTGTTTATGAGAGACCACATTTCTCCAGAAACATTTTGCACTAGACTTTACACTTGGAAAATGAATTCCTGTTCTTCAGTTTTACATTGTTAGTGTGAACCTCCGTTCATCACCTATAAATAGCAACTAATGAGAAAAGTTCACAAATGTTTTCTGAACATACAATATGTATATGGATGAATAAGAAGCTTAATATCTAGTTAGGAAAGGAGAGGAAAGTTCCAGAAGCAGAAGAAATTATTTCTATAAGACAGAGAACAGAAAAGACAAGCAAAACCAAATCAGGCCTCTTCTTTCTTGCTTAACACACTGTTAAACTGAACTTAATCCTAATACATATAAAAATTAACAAACAGAAACACAGGGAAGATACGTTAATATGTTCTATGTACTACCTGTGGAGTTCAAAGGTAAAATTCTAACAGCATCGCTTGAGAACATTTCATTCCTTCCTTCTTTCCTTCCTTCCCTCCCTTTCTTTCTGTTTTTAAGAGCTGTCTAATCAAACTGCCCAGGAAGAGAAAAAGGGTTTTTTTTATGGAACGCATGTCATCCTTAAACAGGTGCCATGCTAATCTTCTCTGTATCATTCCAATTTTAGTATATGTGCTGCCAAAGCAAACACAAGAGAAGAAAGCTTTTGAGAACACCTCAGACCTGACATTACAGAGATGATACGGCGCAGCAACACTCAGTGTCCATGGAATCACGTGCTACACGCTTGGCTGAGACTTTCAAACTTGTTACTTCCTAACGTAAAAGCACTCAGCCTCCACATAACACAGCCAGCCTTACAGCCGTCTGTTCCTTACCTCTGTCAGATATCCCCATCTTTTGAACCAGTGCCCTCCACCCCCGCCAATCTTTAGCTCGACATATGCCAAATCAAGAGCTACAGTGGAGAAAAGAGAGAGCTTTCTCACTCTAGACTGCTAGTTGGCAAACTTTCTGAAAAGGGCCAGTTGTGAATATTTTCAGCTTTACGGACCATACCGTCTACAGCGACTACTCAACTCTGCTCTTCAGTAAGAAAGCAGCAGTGGACAGTATACAAACCGGTAGAGCTATGTTCGAAACGCACTAAACCTGCAACTTTTACACGTTAGCAAAACTGTAAAAAATTATCACTCAAAAGCAAACAAGAAGATGTTTACTCAGAGAAATGAAAGAGGTCATCCCCTAGGACTTTAGAGCTGGGGAATCTAGCAATGTGTCCATGTTCTATCTCAATTAAGCTTTTTATAGCTTAGAATGGGTGTTCACACCCCCATTTTACAATGAAACAAGAGACTGCAGTTAACCCAAGATGTGTTGCTTTCCAGGTTCACAATGACAGATTCTGTACCCTCCCCACTTCCCACTTTCTATCAGCTGGACCCAGCATAAGACACCAAGTACTGATAATACAGTAACTCTTTGTTTTACTGTGATGCCGATTCTCCTACCCAAACCACAATTTGTACTGCTGACACACAGTAAAACCTAAGATGGCAGTTTGGTCACTTTTATGTTCCATGTAACAAAATCTTAACTAACTAACTAAATAAATAAAATTAGACTAGGCATGGTGGCTCACACCTGTAATCCCAGAACTTTCCAAGGCCAAGTTAGGAGGGTCATTTTAGGCCAGGAGTTTTAAGATCAGACTGAGCATCACAAGAAGACACTGTCGCTACAAAATTAAAAAAAAATTTTAGCTGGGCATGGTGGCACACCTACCTGTAATCCCAGCTACTTGGGAGGCTGAGGCAGAAGGAACACTTGAGCCCAGAGTTTTGCTGCAGTGAGCTATTATAGCACCACTGCGCTCCAGCCTGGGCAACAAAGTGAGACCCTGTCTCTAAATTTAGGGGGAAAAAAATTATCCAGTTAGCTATAACTTAAGCTTTAACTATATTATGTCCAATACTCTTACTAGGACCCTGATTCTGGCCCAACCTAGCAATTCTGATTTTAAATATGACAATGTGTGTGATATCTTTAAATAAATAACTGGGCTATTCTATCAAAGAATAGCATGGCACCTTATAGTTCCAGCTACCTAGGAGGCTCAAGTGGGAGGATCACTTGAGCCCAGCCTGGGCCAACACAGTAAGACACCAGCTATTTAAAAACAAAAACCAAGAAGAGAATAGTATGACTAAAATAACATTTAGTCTTAAATGTCTGGGGCCAGAATTCTACCTTTAGTTGCTTCAATGATTCACAGCAGATACTAACGATTTATTCGTCTAATTTACTTGTCTACAAAGTGGAGAACTTGTGGTACCTATTTATTATCAATAAAGCACTCAAATGCTACACGTTTACAAGACATAAAGTCATAGGCAAATACTCCCTAGTAGTATCAACAGTTTAAAGTGACTCTCTAATCAGAGTCTTCTCTTTCACACTGATACATTAGACCCTTTTCCTCCAGCGAAGGGAAGAAGCGATCAGAGGAAGAAAATACTTGTAGATCATCATTAAATCTTAAGCAATGGTAGTAAGGAAGACAGGAGGGCAGCACAGAACATTATCACTCTGTCACTGCTAGGGCAGTGTGGCCCCTAAGTCAGCATAAATGGTAACCAAGACTTTTACCTGTATGACACATACTTGTCACAACAACTCGGAAGGAGTAGGAATCATTCTATACCACTGACAGATGAGGAAATTCAGATACAAAGAGGTGTAGAAACCTGAATGTACCAGGACTAATCAGTTATGAAGTCCTAAGTTCCTGCCCGTCAGGGGAATGCAGCAGTCAGGCAAAGCCCTTACCCTGGTAATCTTCTGGTCGGTTTTTGTTGGATCCAAAAATCTTGATAGTAGGAAATCCCTGAACACCGTACTGACCTCCTAGGGACTGATGCTTATCCACATCAACCGCACCGACTTTTACAACATCCTGTGGGAACAGAACATTTTCTTTCAACTAGAGCAGATTCCACAAGAACCCACCATCTGCTTCACACAGACTCAGAAGCAAGGTAGCAGAGCAGGATGAAGGTGGCAGACAGAGTCAACAAGGACTTTAGCCTTGAATAAGGGAAGAGAATCTTAAGTAGATGTATAGGTGAAATGTCAGTCAGTCCAGGCAGGGAACTCTGCAGCTCACAGAACTATCAGGGCTGAGAGTAATTATGTCATTTATCTGGGAAACAAAAGAAACAAAAACAGAAAACATAAAAATTAAGATGTGGGGTGGCACCTGTGGCTCACAGGAGTAGGGCACTGGCCCCATATACCAGAGATGGCGGGTTCAAACCTAGCCCCGGCCAAAAACTGTAAAAAAAAAAAAAAAAAAAAAAAAAAAATTAAAATGTGTAGCATCCTCTTGTTCTCTACATGATTTTGGCAGCATGTTGAACCAACTTCCTATTGGACCTTGAACCCATCTGCATACTCACGTTAACACACACAGGTGAATGTGGACATCTCAGAAACTTACTTTTAGTGCAGTTGCTGCTTTTTTCCATTCTGGTGTTAACCTTTGGCAGTGACCACACCTTTGGGAGGGGGAGAAAATCACAAATAAGACAAGAGTTAGAGCCTTTGATCTTCAATTCAAGGAATTAAAAAAATCAGTTAATAAAAAAATACCCATCAAGTTTTCTAAGTGAGATGACTGGGGGTGCTTACAAAGAGGACAAGCGCTAATGAAACAGCACTGGTGACTTGAGGGGCTCATCTTTTTATTACTTACAGCAATCATTTTTCATATCATTCTAATAAAAAAAGCTTCCAATTTACCACTCAATTAAATCATGAAGAGTTTAAATAGTCTACATTATTTGTAACTCTACACCTGAATGGGCCCTTTAGAATTTATCCAGTTCAGTGTGCCTCAAAAGTGTGGAGTTGTAAGGCTTGGACAAATGCAGATTCTTGGGCCCTATGAACTCAAAGTTCCTACAGAAGGAACCTTCATTTTAGTAAGTTCTACCAGTGACTTTTAAATCCATTAAGTTTTGATATTCCCTGATTCAGTCCAACCTATGCATTTTTTAGAAGAGGCACCTGGCCTGGATCTCCTGTGCCTGTATCTCAATTCTATCTGGCTCTCACAAACTGCTGCTAGAGTTAAAAATGCACACATAAGGCCAAGTTAGTGAGCCCAACAAGCTGACAATTACATGATGTGACCCAGAAGATGGTGATGTGAGGGAGTAAGTGGGGTAGAGGGAAGGGGAAAGAGGGGAGGGGAGGCAAGAACAAAGAAAAGACAATCTTGGTCGGGCATGGTAGCTTATGCCTATAATCCCAGCACTCTGGGAGGCTGAGGCTGGCGGACTGCCTAAAAACTCATGAGTTCACGACCAGCCTGAGCTAGAGCAATACCCCATCTCTAAAAATAGCCAGGCGTTGTGGCAGGTGCCTGTAGTACCAGCTACTTGAGAGGCTGAGGCAAGAGAATCACTGGAGCCCAAGAGTCTGAGGTTGTTGTGAGCTCTGATGCCACAGCACTCTACCGAGGATGACAAAGTGAGACTCTTGTCTCAAAAAGAAAGAAAGAAAAGACAATCTTAATCTTATAAATATATTCAGAAAATATTGTGAAACCCAACACAGAAACCTGCTTCTAAAAGGTTACATGCACACAAACCTGTTAGGCTTTTACCATTTATCAAGATAAATAGCTGTACCATTTCCATCACTATGTAACATCCATGGTATGCAGATACCACAGTTTATTTATCTGTAAGTGATTTGAAGCTTTTTAAACAAAGTAAATTCTCTTCTAATTAGGTCTCTAAGGGCTTAATGAGCAAATGCATGTGCCAGGACCATGATGAAACTTTTTATAAAGGATTTCATTTAATCAGCATAAAGCTTAAGGCAGGTCCTATTGTTCTTTTCACCTTCTAGACAATGAAATGGATACTGAGAAGAAATTTACCCACAAACACAGCCATCCAGTGTTAGAGCTGCCTGACACGTTTTTGATTCCAAGCACCACATTGTTGATTATGTAGCATCACCTTCCACAGAAGCCTAAACTTAACCCTAATATTTAAGTCTAATATTTAAGGATGTTTCAGGGCAATGGCCTGATATGCTGGCTCTGCATATTTATATATAGTATATTTTGTTGCTTAAGTGAGATACTTAGAAATCTACAAGTCAGTAAAAACAACAAAAAAGAAAAAAAAAGAAATCTAAGAATCAAAGTGTCACAGGGTTTTGTGCCTCCTTAATCTCAACTTATGTAAGCAAGGAAGATTCAAATTAGAGAATGTCAGAACACATGTCCCCTTCAATGTGAATGTCAGGCATTTTACCTGCAGACAGATCAAAATGCCATGTAAACATAAACACAGAGTATGTTCTAACTCAGGGTTCTTCACCATTCCTGGTTCCCAAAGGGATGGTGTACAGAAACTCAAAGGTTCTATGAGCTAGGATGGGGGAAAAACTCTCTATTTTCACTAACCTGAAACTGAAATTAACAATCTCCTTCAATTAATCATTGTTGGTAAGTCACAAATAAAATCACAGCTATTTTCATATCACTCTAGGTGCTTCAGGGACATTGTATGTACCTACCACTATTCAGAATTACAGTAAGTGTCAGATCTGCTGCTGGATCTTGGTCCAGAGTGAATATCCCTAATCCGAAAGCTAAATGCTCCTTAATTTCAA